TTCTTTTTGTTTAGGTACAATAAATCACAAAACCACTTTAGAGAGTGTGAATATTGTATCTAACAATTTTCGCAGCTCTTACCTGTGATGGTAGACTCAGAAAATTAATCTCGGAATTTTTCATCATGCCTTCCTATTTTTCCCAATTTTTGGTAATTATAATGGCCTAAAAATAGGAAGAATAGTTCTGATTATCCAAAATTCGTGAAATTTTACCAGCACATCATGTTGTACATTAGGAGGTTACATAAAATGTTTGATGATTTTTCTCTACAGTAAACTATTTTTCTCCTATTTTCTAAGGTTAAATACACTTAAATACACATGAATACCAAAAACCAGATTATACAATATGAAAACCACTTTTGGTATTTTTCCCAGATTACTTACACTGTAAAGGATGTTACAAAAAATTTCGGTAATTTATTTTAACTTTTTTATTATTTATTCTTTAATTATTGATTATTTAAGGGGATAAAACAAGGAAAAATAGAAATACCCACTGAAAAATATCTTTTATATTTTTCCCAGCCTAGTTATGTATAATAACAGTTAAATAAAATTTGAGTAATTTTGGACATTGTTTTCTATTTATTCCAATTTTTATTGGAGTAAATGCTCAAAAATCATAAAATATAATTAAACAGCTTGGAAATCTATTTTTATATTTTTCCCAGCTTAGTAATGTGTAATAATAGTGAAATAAAAAGTTTGAGAATTTTTATCCTTTGAATGCTATTTTTCGTGAATTTATGTTGTTATAAAGGCTTAAAAATTTGGAAAATAGTTAACCATATCAAAAATTCAAGGAAATTTTTTTTGGAAAACCTCTATTGTATTTAGAATGAAAAATACAAGGTTTGACAATTTTTGGAAACTATTTGATAATATTTTACATTTTTAGGAATTTGAAACACATTTAAATGTGTTGAAACACCCTTAAATTTATATTACTAAATCTGGAAAATTAATATCCCAAAGTTGTATTAATCGCATAACTTGTAGAATTTCATCATTTCAGAAAAAGTGTAACCAATCAATATAAAATCCAATATTAGAACATAAATTGGCATTTCACTATATGTAGAGTTTAGTATATTAGCATTAGATTTCGACATGGAAACTCACTAGTGTGTTTGACGTTATAGGATCCCGGTATTAAGACGTTGGTGTATTCCGAGGCACCACTTGTATCTACTTGAAACATTGTGAGTTTTCACGCACTCCATTATTTTCAGTTTTTATGTTTTGGGGTGGAAAAGCATGTCCAGAAAAACTATTATTTGCATGTTGTATTTAAATTGATTTGTATCAAACATGATTGCTATTGTATTGCTATATCTCTCTATGTACGTCTATGCAACATGGAACATGAGAACTTATCGTACTAAGGCCCTTCCTTATCTCTAACCATTAACTCTTTGAGCCAATGGTCATTATGGATAGTGCTATTAGGAATTGACAACTCCTTACTCGCCCTATTGCTGGAGTGCATGATACCATATTCATCTATGGAACGATAAGCATAGATCTCGATAGGGCTTCAGTCATAGGTTTGGTTGAGACTCATTGTTTGCTCATACACATACAAACTCGTTTCTCATTATAGCAATAAACTTGTATTCATTAATAGCAATCAACTTTGTTTCTCATTAAAGCAATGTACTTGTATTTATGAAAAGCCTTATTCAAGCTCGATTTTATAAACTTGTGAACTCACCAACTATTTTCATAGTTGACGCTCGTTTTACATGCTTTTTTAGGAAATAATTAGTAAGTGGATATAAAGATTCATCATCATAGAGCATGCTGCATCGGAAAACTTGTATTTTGATTATTTTGAAGCTATGGGTTGTAAACTTTTAAATACTGCTATGGTGATGTATCTTTATCTTTTGCAATGAAACTGTTATCACTGTCATATCTTGCATTTCTGCTTTAGCGGGGTGTGACAGAAGTGGTATCAGAGCTAAAGTTATAGAGAACATCAGTTTTTCTTTAAGAAAACACAACCTATAACCAAAACTTATAAAGAAATTCTTTTTACATCAAACATATTACTAGTATAATTAGGTCGGGAGTTGTACCGTTGGACCTCAATTAAACATAGCCTGATCACCTATGTATAATTAAGGAAAGATTTATACAAAGCCTGAGTTAATTACAATCGGAATATGCTCAACAAAAATATTTGAGAAAACTTTATTTCAAAAATTCAAAAGGCTAATTTTGGTGTGTGTAAGCATTGCATATTATAGGCATGCATTGTCATTTATTTCATATCTCATTGAAAATATGTCTCAGTCCACTATGTCAATGAGTCCGGCTACGTCACTATTATCCCTCGACGTAATCCCCCCACGTTGGTAGAAGAAGACCCATCGGAGCTGTTTTAGGACAAAGAATTGACAAGCATTTTCTGCCGATCTACTATTCAAGCAAGACCTTGAACCCAACACAAGAGAACTACAAAACTAACGAAAAGGAGTTATTAGCAGTGGTTTATGCATTCGATAAATTCCATCCATATTTGGTTTTGTGAAAAACAATAGTTTTTACCGACCATTATGCCCGCACATATCTTTTTTCTAAACAAGTTGCTAAACCAAGATTGATACGTTGGGTTTTGTTGCTACAAGAATTTAACATTGAAATAAGAGCTAAAAAGGGGATGGAAAACGTGGCTGCCGACCATTTATCGAGATTGGAGAACCCGCACTTGGAGGATTTAGAAGAAAACAAGATTGGAGATGAATTTCCCAAAGAATATCTATTGGTTATAGCAGGAGAGATACCATGGTATGTGGATATAGCTAACTACTTAGCAAGTGAGTACATTCCAAACGATTTGACCCGCCAACAAAAGAAGAAATTCTTTTCAGAGATTAAGTATTAATTTTCGGATGAGCCATACCTTTTTCGTAGCTTTGTTGATGGTATGATAAGAAGATGTGTATTCGGGAAGGAAAGTCGGGAAATATTGAAGCATTGTCAAAGCGGGCCCACTAGAGGACATCATGGAGCACAATATAAAGCTAAAAAGGTTTTTGATATGGGTTTTTATTGGCCTACTATTTTTAAGGATGCTACTAAATTTGTCAAGGAATGTGATTCATGTCATAGGTCGGGAGGCATTTCATCACGAAACGAGATGCCCCAAAATAGCATTCAAGTTTGTAACATATTTCATATTTGGGGGATTGACTTCATGGGACTTTTCCCAATGTCAAAGGGTAATAAATACATATTGGTGGCTGTCAATTATGTATCCAAGTGGGTAGAAGCACAAGCATTACCCACGAATGATGCTCGAGTGGTGGTACGTTTCCTTAAAAAGTTATTTTCAAGGTTTGGAGTTCCTAAGGCTCTAATTAGTGATCGAGGCACCCACTTCACAAATGATCAATTGGCTAAGGTGTTGCAAAAATATGGTGTCCACCATAGATTTTCAACATCCTATCATCCTCAAACGAGTGGGCAAACTAAAGTTACAAACCGGGCATTGAAGAGGATATTAAAAAGATCGGTTGGAAGTAATAGAAATGAGTGGTCGGTCAAGCTTGATGATCCACTTTGGGCATTTCGAACGGCTTTCAAAACACCTATTGGCACTACACGATATAGGTTGGTTTATGGGAAGAGTTGTCACTTGCCAGTTGAAATAGAGCATAAAGCATTTTGGGCTATGAAAATATGTAATTTTGAGCTAGCTAAACTTCGTACAAATCAGTTAATGCAAATGAATGCCCTTGAAGAACTTAGAAATGAAACATATACAAGTTCATTGATTTATAAAGACAAGCCTAAGAAATGGCATGATATGGGGCTTAAGGGTAATAAAGACTTTCATGAAGGACAAAAGGTGATACTTTTCAATTCAAGGTTGAAACTTTTTCCGAGTAGATTACAAACAAGGTGGGACGGGCCATTTGTTGTCAAACAAGTTTTCTCACATGGAGCTATTGAGCTTATATCAAGAGACGGAGCCCCTTTCAAAGTTAATAGGCATCGAGTGAATCATTACAAAGAAAGAATGCCAAGTGAAGAAAGAGAGGATGAAATCATCAAATTCACACGAGCTGAGACAACGTAAAGCGGGAAGGAGTCCGACTTATGACTCCCCAAAAAGAAGTGCCTGCAGGAGGAAACCTATGGTTTTGAGTTTGCATTTTATTTCCTTTCCTTTTATTCACTTTTGTTTGTTTTAGTTTTTTTAAGGTTTTTATTCTCTCATTCTTCTGATTTGTCTATGAATTCGACGTGGGGTATGGCAAAAAACGAGTGTGGCGTGATTATTTTTCGGATCTTGAAAATAAAAAAAAATTAACCCACCACGAGGTGGTGATTTTTCAAAACCTGTAATTAAGCGAGATAAACAACGAAACCATGGCATGGTGATTTTAACACATTGTGGCGATGAAATAACAATAATTAATTTAGGCTTTTTCATCTAAAGTCAAAACACTTTACACTTTTACTTCGACCCCGTTCTCTCATCGTGCCAGCCACCCCACAAAGAACTCCTCCATCTTTTCATCGATTTCTTGCAATTCTCCACCAATAGGTATGATTTTCTAGTGATTTCCTTACTCTTAAACATTTATATTGGTAGTAATGAGCATCTATTTCCTGATTAGGGTATCGTTAGGGTCGATTTTGGGAACCTAAGGTTCTAACTTTTGCAAAAATCAGACCTATTTATGGATGTTTTGAGCCTTGATTTTGTTACCATTCTACTACATTTTATGCATAGAACAAACCCTGAACTTCACTTGAGTTGATATGGAGTTGAATCTGGATTGATTTAACCAGTCCCATGAAAAGTTCGTCGACCACGACGATTCGTCGTGGTCCTCGTAATGGTGGGTTCTTTTGCAGTTTATATGTTATATCTTAATTGTAATAATGCACCTGGTTCTTTCGTTATTTATTTGTGGTTATTTTGTAGAAATGGCTAGTAGGTCTAGGAGAAACCAATCCAGAACTCGAATTGAGTTTCCATGGTACTCTTTCCCAAGGGATATTGCACCTGCACTTCACGCACGTTGGACGCTAAGCTTGAAATAATGAAGAAACGAAGAGTGCATGTTCCTGCATTCATTGATTGGCATTGGATTGGACAAAAGGGGTTGATGGATGCCATGGATCCTTATCTTGACAAGCTATTTAATGGATTTCATGGCCAATTTATGTGCTTGGGGTGGAGACGGATTTCTGAAATTCAAGAGGTGGTTTCCAAGGAATTGGTTTATGAGTTTCTTACAAAGGTTTATTTTGCAAGAAAATATGGGATTTATGACGATGATAACCTTACATTTTCCCTTGGTGGGGAAAGGTGTTCTCTTAGCCTCACAGATTTTGCACTTAGGACGAGAATTTATCTTCCGTCCGAGGTTCATACGGAATTGTACCAACAGTTAATTGCAGCAGCTTCTATAAGAAATATTGAGTGGTTATAGGCGGAAGACCATTGGCATGCAATTTCTAATGGAGTGTATGAAAAAGGGACTACCCAAGGAAGCGATATTCGCTTGCCCATTCATCGCCTGCTGCATCGTCTCATCACTAACACCATCAACGAGCGTCAAGAGGGGGTTAAATGCCCCACTATTGATGTTTTCTTTTTGTGGGTCCTTACTTCCACTGATACTTATGTTGATTTGCCCTTTCATTTGGCAGAATTCCTTACATCTCAGGCAACCAAAGATAGGCGCGGGTTCCCATTATATGATAGGATGTTGATTACCCGACTCGCTCGTTCATTTGAAGTTCTTGAAAAGCGGGAAGACGTGATGTTGACTGTGGAGCCCCAAAAGCCATTCTCAGTCCTCCTTTATAAGAGGACAAACATTGTGGTTGATCATGTAGTGGGGACCTTTCGTATTCCTGATGACACCCCCTGCCAGTGGGTTCCAAACCGAGGAAGGCAGTGGGGTAGGGAAGCTGGAGAGGACGAACCACCTGTTGTGCATGCAGATGATGAGCTACCTATGGATCCATATAATGCTACAAGGAGGAGATATGAAGATTACATGTCAAGAAATGATAATTATACCAACATGTGCATGGATCATTTTATGTTCCAAATGCATGTGCCACGCCCGGATCATTTTCCTCCTTCATATCCGCATGTTCCAACTTGGGAGGAATTGTGGCGGGAGCAACAAGGTGGGGCTGGTGGTAGTGGTGGGGGAGTAGACGAGGAGGAAGATTGATAGTTTTTATCCTTTTTCATTTGGTTGCTTTTAGACTTGTTTCTTTATGTTTTTATTTTGTTTAGTTACGTACTTGATCAATTATGTGTTTTGTTGCTTGACAATGTTTCCTACGTATGTTACTTTTCTTTGTCTAAATTCTATGTAACATCCCAAAATTCAAGGCTGAAAATTTAATTTTTGAATTAATAATTTTTAAAGCATTTTACCATAACATTGTCAGTAAAGCAACACATTACGAAATCATAGTGTTGTGTCCTAAACCATGACATCAAAAATAATGAAAATCAGAGTACAATCCCAGAAAGTCTGAAGTAGAATCATGTATGTGTGTGTGTAATGCGATGCTACGCCGCCGACTCCTTCCCCTTAGATGAAGAGGTACCTGAAACCAAAATAGAAACCGTAAGCACAAAGCTAAGTAAGTTCCCCCATCATACCACATACCATACAATATCATCAGTATTTTTCAACCGGTAATCATCATCAATATCTTTCAACCGGTAATCATCGTCGGTATCTTCCAACCGATAACTTCCATCGGTATCTTTCAATCGGTAATAATTATCGGTATCTTCAACCAGTAACCATCATCGGTATCTTTCAACCGGTAACTGGGGACTATTCCACCCCTACCACAAGCATACAACATCAAGATATAAACATACGATCATGCATATCCGGGTACTAACCTACCCTTCGGTCCTAAGGACCACTGTCAGGGAAACTAATCCCTACTATACACATAACATATCATACAGATAAATCTCATAACCAAGGTACATAACCAGACCAAGATAATTATCACACATAACATATCATACAGATAAATCTCATAACCAAGGCACATAACCAGACCAAGATAATTATCACAAAGACAATCATCTCATATATATTCGTCTTTGGTGGGTCAGCATTGTGGCCTTAGACCCACCCCTACTGGAAGGTAACTCACCTCATACGAGTAGCTGCTGATAATCTGTATGGGAAATCTCTGTTTGCTGCTACTCCGGAAATCCTCCGGCTATAATCCCTACAAAACACTCAGTCAGAAATCTGATATCTACTCTTAGGGTAAAATGACCATTTTACCCCTAACCAAAGTCCAAGTCATAGTCAAGTTCCAGTTGACCCGACTCACTGAGTTGGGCCGTCAACTCGTCGAGTCCCTACCCTTTACTCGTCCATTTATCCATGACTCAACTAGTCGAGTTTGGCAACGACTCGACGGGTTCCCCTTCTCTACGAACATCAATGAACCTTCATTCGACTCGCCGAGTTGTATGAACAACTCGTCGAGTTCACCTTCATCTGATGAAAAAATCCTGACCTTAACTCGTCGGGTTGTATGAACAACTCGTCAAGTTCATCTTCAAACATAAGTAGATTGCCTTGGACTCGCCGAGTCTGTTCTAGCACTCACTGAGTCCCATGAACTCCTGGTCTAAAACTAAGTCCAATGCGTTCGGTCACTCCTTCTGTCCTGCTACAACCCTTCTAACACCCAACTAAGTTCTTTTGACCCTCAACAAATATGGGACTCAAATCCTTGGACCCGTCGAGTCCCAAGAACGGACTCGTCGAGTCGTTAACGCCCACACCCTAAATCCTCGAAATCTGATGTACAACACTTGTCCAAATGATAGATCCAAGCCCCTAAGCTCGATCTAGCACGTAAAGTTACAAACTTTACGTGCATGCATGGGACTTTTGAGCCAAAAAGGCTCTAAAATGGCTCTTTTGTTGCATGGGGCCTTTCTTGGGTGCAAAAGCAACCCAAATCTGTCTTGTAACTCTTCCTAAGTGCTAGATCCGAAGTATTGACCTCCAACCATGTTTGCAAATCATGGTTGGTCACCTCATTTGGCTTAAAAGCCATAAATCTTCCCCAAAAAGGGATCTAACAAACAAGAAAGCAAGGTACAAAGTTTATACCATACAAAGACTGCAAATGATGAACCAAACTCGAATCCTTCAGCCTCCTCTTGATCGTTCTATGCTCTTCCTTCCTTCTTGAGGTCAAAACCCACAAAAAACACTCAAAAGCCTTAGTTCTTGCACCAAAACACTTAGGGTTCTCTATGGAGAGTCTTTGGGAGCATTATGGACTAGTGGTGGCTGAAACACATGGTTAAATAGGATGCAAACCCTCAGGTTAGGGTTTTATACAGTCAGAGCCTACTCATCGAGTCTGACCGCCGACTCGACGAGTCCATCACTTAAGTCCCGCGTCCAAAATCAATCCTACTCGACGAGTTGGGCCTTCATCTCGCCGAGTCCTAGGCCAAAATGAAAAATAAAACAAAATAAATTACATACTTGGAACCGAGTGCTACATTCCAGGTCCTATTCTAGAGTCCAAGTGAGGGTATATTTGGCAAAAGAAGGTTCGTTATAATGACGGTTATAGAACATCGAGAAAAGCGAGATTTGAGAACACTTTTCGGGGGTTTAAATGAGTCATAGAGTGAAAGGTCACATCCTAGAGCTTTATGTAAGAGATGGTGTCACGTTTAGTTCGCGTAACAATTCAATTCAACATCAAATTTTGTATTTTCCTACCACCATGACGTGGCAATATAGAAAACGCCATGTTGTTGAAATCTAAAAAACCCAAAAATGTTCTGTTTGGTCCAACACGCTGTGGTGATATCCACCACGACGTGGTGCTTTTCGAGTCCCGATCCTATCACTTCCAGTATTCTATGTGTTCAAGGGTGGTGTTTTATATATTATAGTCAATTTTCATGGTATGGATGAGCTGTTCCCACACCATAGAATTGTCTTTTCACGCATCAATGAAGAACTATCCCGGATGCCACGACATGGTTGACACTTTCCTTTGACGTGGGGGAGTTTTTCAAAGCACAAGGAGGTTGCCATTTTCTTTTCCACTTCTGTTTCCACATGTTCGAGCCAGCTACAAGTCCTTTCCATGAGTCGAGTTGCATCTTCTATCCTAGGGGAGTCTGTTCCTTTTTCTCCCTCTTTTTAATTGTATAGTTTGCATACCATGCAATGAGGGCATTCTATGAAATAAGTGTGGGGTAGGGGTTGGTTATATTAGTTGAATTAGTATCTTAATTTTAGGCATAATTTTAAAATTTTTTCTAGGATTTAACTTAGAAAATCATGATGATGAAAGGCAATTAGGACCCATGCTAGTATTGTATTTGATGATTTTATGAGGACCTAAATGTTTAGTTGAGCCTATATACGTTATAATGCATGTGTGGCCCTCTTTATTCTAGTGAAATCGTGGGACAAAAACACAACCTCGCTTTGTTTGAGGGATGCAATATGTTTAGCAGCCTGAACCTGAAATGTTTCCAGAAAAGCTTAAGTAGTCATTGCACATGAGACTAATACCTTAACCAATAAAGGTTGAAGTGGAGCGCCCTTGCTTAAGCATGTATGATATGAGTGAAAAAAAAAGTGAGATACATGTTAAATATATAAAAAAAGAGAATTACAAGAAAATTTGTAAGAATTTTGGAGCAATCAAAGTATCAAGTTTGAAGATTCAAAGATCAAAATTCTGAAGAAATTTCAAAAGTTGAAGATACCAAAAAATAAAACAAAGAAGGTGGTGAATTCAAACAAATTAAAGATCAATTTGTCACAGAAGTGAAGAATTCCAAAGAGCTCCATTGTGGTATCAAAAGTTGTAATTTTCTAGATTATGTATGCTTGGGTTGCATGACCAAAAATACCTTGAGGTTAGAAAGTTTTATGGGCATGGATTCAGAGGGTTATATAAAATGAGCGTTGTTCAAAAGAAGTGGGCGAGTCTTTATGAGGATTGTGAGTATTTCGGATTAGGGGGTCCTTGGGAAAAATTTTAGAAAAAAATACATCCGTTGCGGTCTTGGCATAATGGTTGGTTCAAGTGGGTTGTCTTATGTGATATTTGTATGCTAAAATTCAGTTATGCTTGGGGGCAAGCAATGAATAAGTGTGGGGTATTTTGATATGTGCATATTGATACACATATTTATACCATGTACATTAATATTTTGATTATTTTTATGCCCTTATTAAAACAAAAGATACTTAATTTGCTATAAATCATGTTGTAGGGATCAAAAGACATGCTTGGAGCAAAAAGGAAGTTGGAAGTTGGATTAAGGAAGCTGGAAGATGGAAGTTTGAACCAAAGCTCTAAAATGAAGAAAAATATGCCTAACATGTCGTGGTGATCTTACCACGGCATGGTGACTTAAAGAATCCCGATCGACTTCGAAGACTTGGAGAATACGGGATAAGCACGATGACCATGATGTGGTGCCCTGATTCCAGGAAAAATATAAATAGATCACATAAACCTCCGAATTGGAACTTTTGGCTCTAGATAATTCGACACTTTTGGAGGAAAAACACTAGAATTAAGGCTTGGAAGCAAGAATCTCATTCACAACCATTGGAAGGATGAGCATTAAGGCAATTGAACTTACACTTCGATTTTTATTTAGATTTAGCCATGTCTAACACTTTGAATTTCATTTTTGTGACTTTGTTTGCTGAAATGATGAGCTAAATACTCATGACTTTCGTTCAGCCTAGGATGAGTTGACTATTTGTGGTTGATTTTATGGTTTGCATTTATATATTTTGTTATTTGTTGATTTAGCTTATTAAATAACCTCAAGTACTTTTGATAAATACTTTTCTCTACTAATTGCTGAATTTGATTAAGTTAGTATGAACATCTCTCTTAGTTAGATTTGAATCTTATGATCATGTGATTTTCAAAATTGTAGAACTAGAGTTTTGAATAAAACCTAGGGTTAAGTAGAAAAGTGGGTAAAAGAGTATAGGAGCTAATATATGATGAAAAATCATATATCAAATTGAATCAATAAACTAAATTGGTCAATTAGTTATAAGTCTAATCAATTCAAGCTGAACACTAGTGAGCTGGTAAGTTTGTCCGCATGATCACCAAATAAATAAGCTAGTTTGCCAAAGGATTAAATTAGTGAATACTAATTTGGTCATCT